GACGTTAAATAAAGAAACATTAAGTAGTTGACTAATGCTCTAATTAGTTCAAGCCTCCGCCGCAGATGACAATGAAAGAAAGCAGATTATATTTTATGACTCTATTAATATAATTTTAATTATATATTGCTATGACGAATTTATTTCCATGATCATGCTCTATCGTTCTCTGTGGAGAAAAAAAAAGTAAAGGACAAAGAAAAAACCAAAAGGGCCAAGTATGCTCGTTCTGCCTTGTGTACATTTACGTGCAGGACATGAACTCAACTTTATTGTCCTCTTGGTCCGGTTTTTACTAAGATGCATTATTCCTTCTCCAAATCTTTACTGATGTATATTTCTGCAGTGGCTGAAGATAAATTTGATATTGGTGTCATCCACAATGATGAAGTTGTTGAGTCAAGAGCAGATATCTTAAAGCAATATGAAAAATCAAATTTAGAGGAATCATGTGTCATGGTGGAAGGGGATATGCTCCATTTTTTTCTTCAAAGAGCTGCCAAACAGAAATCATTCAAGGTTCGTTCTCTCTTTGTGCGTTTGTGCACGCACGTGCGACTTTGTATATTTATGTTTTGACTTAATTTTCTTTCAGAAAAAGATTCGTGAAGCTTTTTTGTCAAAATTGAGGTCAAGGAAACCAGAGTACAACAAGTTTCTTGTCCAATATGGAAATCGAGATGGAATGGAAGCAACAGAGATGGTGATTCCTGGTTCAAATATAGTCTCTGACAATGAGGAATTAAAAGGTCTTAATTTTTCTGATTCTGACTGGGAGCTTCTCTAGATTTGCTGCTGCTGTGAGTGTACTGCTTTTCCTCTACTACAACTACGCGGATGGGATGAAGATGCTGTCTTGAATGTGAGCCAAATGAATCGAGAATTCAGAAAATACTCTAATTAGTGTGTGAACAAATCAATAACATATATTGTACATAAAAGTCCATATGTTAATGCTTCGTGGCCAATCTAATATTGGTATTTTGCTTGTACATTTCTTTTTATATAACATATTGGTGGCATATCTGTCAAAAAATTTCATCTCGTTAGGATAATTTCCATAAAGTCCAGGCTTTTTATCTTTCTACTCTTTTGTGGATGCTATTTTTATCTTTACTTGAAGGGATTGAAATTTAGGATAGATACACCGAATCACTTAAAGAGGGAGGTTTTGGTTTGCAATGATGAATATTGCTAGAAATTTTGTAGTCGTCTCCATTGCCAAAGATAGAAGAGACATGCAAATCTCATAAAAACTAAGTAGCGTACAAGTCGAAGGAGTCACTAGGATTCTCTTGGACTGGTTTTTTATGTTGAGTTGTTTCGTTCATATTATGCGCTGTATGAATACCCAGGACTTGTACTATATCTAATTCAATCAATGTACTTTTGATAAGCTGGATTAGATAGTATGAAAGGA